CACAGCAGCCCCCTCGAATCTCTGATTCTTGTGCCCTGAACAGTGGCAAACAGGAGCAATCCATGAACCAAGGTAATTAGGAGGAGACTAAAATGATATGTAAATGAAGGCCCAGTTCTGTGAATATCCTAAATTACTTACAGCCTTGCCCAGGCAATGTAGCACTGAGCAACTCAGAGCTAGGCTGTCAGAGATGTTCATAGCAACTCAGGTTTCTCTGGCTTTAAAGAATTAGGTTGTCCTATGCCTGTGGCCTGGACTGACTGCTGTTATTTGATGCATACAGTTGACAGGCAACCTATCCAGGAAGAAATATATTTAAAAGATAAACCCATAAAAGGAGAAGGGGTGTGTTTTTTGTAAGTGACCAACAGAAAGAAATGGCCGAGTAGAAAGATTGCTATTCCAGATGGCATGAGCTGTAAAGGAGAAAGCGTTTGCACCTGTGTTGGAGAAATACTGACTGGACAAGGAGTAGGAGGATGCACTCTGAGGAGAGCACAGGGGATATCATGGTCTTGATAGAACTGTGATGGTGTGTGTCATCTAGTACTGAACTAAGTGGATGATAATGAGCCAGCTTGTGGTGTTTCTGGATGAAAATTTTCTTCTTTTACAATAATAGAGAAACTCCTGCTGGTTCCAAGAACAAGATCCCAGATCAAGCTATAGCTTGCAGTTAGGACCCAACAGCTGAACATCTCCTCAGTATCCCGTGGGTCTGAGTGAGTTGCTCTGTGGCTGAGCTGCCACCCAGTCAGGGCCAAGATTGCTGACCAGAACACTAACGGTTGTTTTTGCCTTTTTTTTTTTTTTTTTTTTACCTCATTTCCTTTCACAGTGAACTCCTATGGTCAGCCCCAGCCTCCCCATCTCTTCTCCGGGCCATCTCCTATGTACCAGATTTCCACCCAGGACTCTCCAGGATATAATCGCCCAGGTAAGGAGTGACATTAAGGCGTATTATACCAATGAACATTAAAGAATTGTTTTCTAACCCCTTTGTATGTTTCTCCCAAAGCACTTAGTAATCAAATGGAGCACTGCAGGTAGAGAGAGAGGCTGGACTGCAAAAAACCCTCCATTTAGGGTTCTGCCATAGCTTTGGGAAGGCTTAGGGTATCAGTGGCCTGATTTTTTTCACTTCACATGAACAGTCTCCTAGCTCAGCCTCACCCTCAGTTGGTTGCTTGAAGACAACTCTACATGAGAAGCTTCTGTCAATGAAGTCCTCTGTGCTCTATCAGCAGTCAGCTGTGAGGGAAGTAAAGGAGGCTGAAACTTAACTTCTGTAGAAGATGCTGTGGAGAATTTCACAGCAGACCACCTAAAGGCATTTGTAGGTGCTGTATGACAGAGAAATTGATGCCAGTAGCGTTCTTGTTTGTTAGACTGTTGGAAGGGAGAAGGCCAAAACCACTTTGGGTTTTTTTTGCCCAAGAACCCCCTGTGAAAGAGCATGTAGTTCTTTATCCTAACTGTTCTCTTTCCTTTTTCTTTTTTCTTGTTTTTGGCTCAGCTCATCATCTGGTCCCCCGGCCTCCAGGACCTCCTCCAGGCGCCAATGAGGAAATCCCCGATGATTTCGACTGGGACTTGATCACCTAGCGAGTTACAGACTCTATAGCCCGTCCTTTGTGAGGGACGTGGGAGGGGAGGGAGACATGGGGTCAATGGTGTCAGCACCGCCCTCCCCAGCCTCCCTGCCTTGCCTGTATATAGATATATATTCTCTATCTCCGCCAGAGAAGCCACCGCAAGATGCTGCCGAAGATAATCCTTCCTTGCGTCCTGTTTTATCTTCTTTACTTCTTTTGTTTATTATTATTATTGTTATTATTATTATTACCAGTAATTGAGCACAGCCCTCCCCCTCCTCTGGTGGCCTCGGACGCATCGGATCAGCTCTTTCATGTTGCGTAGTGCCCTGTGGAGGGCGGAAAGATGGGTCCTTGGTGCCATGAAAAGACCTTGGAAGGCTGAATCCTCGAGTGCATCTTTCTCTGCCTCCGTCATTTTGCGTTTAACAATCCCTCTTTCCCTTCAAGGTGGCCGGTGAATCTGTCGTATTGGCTACTGGAGTGAGAGAGCCTAGTGGACCCTGGGAGCCTGTAGTTATGTTGTTTCGTAAATGTTGTAAAGGTCAGGGGGCTGAAGGGACACTGGAGGGGTGATCTTAGCTCTGTGAACTTTGTCGCACCAGCAGGAACAGCAAGAAAAGGTGTTCCCAAGTACAAAGAGAAGGTAATCCCTGAGGTAGGGAGAGCTAAGCTGAGCTAGGAGGGCAGACCTGAGTTTGGAGAAAGGAGAACGTGGCAGAGATGGTATTTCAGCAGTGAAGTTGGGTTTCACAATGCAGTGCCATCTGTGAAGACAGAGATTTTGAAGGGAATCCTGACCATTTCCTACACTGCTTTTTGCAGTCTCCAGGTGAAGCTTAAATACCCATCAGGTAAAGGAAGCAGTCAGGGGTCTCACATGTGATTCTGAAAATTCTGTTCCCCAGAGCTTTTAATTTCACTCTCTATCCCTTCAAGCCCTTCTTCAAAATACGTAGTGAGGCTCTTACTTGCATATGCAAATTTGGAAATTTTCTCCCATCAGTATTTGTCCAATTGTTATTTGGCCCTCCGCCCCTCAGATTTCTTTGGAGACTGTCCTTGCCTGTGTTTTGAGAGTGTCAGCAGCAGGAGCCTTCTTGTGTAGCTGCATGTCCTGTGTCAGGGGTTCCCACTTGGTGAATGGGCTCGTGGTGGGCAGATGAAGCTGCTGCACAAACTGGGGGGGAACTGAGGGACTGCTGGTCAAGGGCTGGACCCTCTGGTCAGGTACTGGGAGGCCCTCATGAGCAGTTTTTGTAAGAAGGGCATTAGAAAAGAGAGGATGAAGCAGGGCAGGCTTTTAAACCGAACAGCCGAAGAGTGTAGTATAAAAGGGAGGTGGGTGGGTCAGACCCCTTGCAGTTCGTCTGGAGAGATGACAGAATCTGTTATAAATCCTTAAGGATGAGTTTTGTCAGCACTTGCAAATCTGGAAGGTGGAAAAGGTGCAGGAGCAGGAGTGAGTGTTGAGATGCCTCCTCCCCAAAAGCTATGTCCTGTGTTCCCCTTTTTTTCTGGTATGGCTCTGTCAAACCTCTTTTCTCTTAATATTTTGTAAAGCCTCCCCCTAGCCCTTAATAATCCCTGTTCACCAGTGAAGGGAACAAACATGGAAATAGACCATCATGGCCACTTGACAGACCTGGGGCAGGGGAGTAAAGTAATAACCTCTACTCTGACTGCAGGAAGGTGGGGAACTGCCATTGCTTTTTCAATTTGCTGTAGGGATAAACAAATTGGAAATTGGATCTTTGTCAGGGAAGTGGACAGAGTCTTGTTGTATCGGGAGGGGGGGAACAACACTTTTTTCTTTTTTTCTTTTTTTTCCTTTTTTTTTTTTTTTTTTGGTTTCTTTTTTTTGTTTTAAGTGTGTGTTTGGGGGGGAGTTCGTCATTGAGTATTTCCAAGAGAAATGAGGAATTCCAGACAGCTTTAACTTGGAGTCAGCTCTTATCTCTGCTGATTCATGATGGGAATAATACATCTTGGAAGCATGTGTGATAGGTTTCTGTGGGAAGTGGCACCAGAGGTAACTCATGGCAGGTGCCAGTTAGTGCTTTGCAAAGGACATTAGTGAGAGCCGGCCCTGTGGAAGTCTGAAAACACCACCAGAAGAAAAACAAACCAAGATGGCTCCTTCTGCGTATCCAAGTGCTCCTCATTTGCATATTTGCCTCATTTGCGTATTAAGTTGTGCCTCATTTGCATATGTAAATACATGCCGGTCAGTGTGCAAATTAGCCTCGTTCCTCTGCCCCTGAAATAAATGTGTGTTGTTAGTGCGTGGGAAGACATCGATGGGGTGGGCGGCACTGGCCTGCAGGGAGGGGAGGGGGGCCAGCCTGGCCTGGAGGAGGGTCCTGCAGGCCCCTCCAGCCCGGTGTGGCCCCCGGTGCTTCGTGTCAGTGGTCAGGGAGAGAGGGGCGTGGTTTCACGAGTTTATTTTTGTGCATGCTTTCTTAATAAAAAGAAAAAGTGAATGTTTATGGTTTAACTCCTTTGGTGCCAGTATTGATTTTTTTCCCCAGCGGCGCCTGTCAGGTTGGCTCAGTTCTCGCCTACTTACCTTAGAATTTTAGTTGACATGGCTAAATGAACTTGTATGTACTTTAGACAGAGACCTTTTTTATGATGTTGAGAGAAAGAGTTGAAAGTTCTCCCAGATAACTCTTCTCAGGGCACTGAGATCTGTTAGTCTTTCAGTTTGTGCTCACCAGAAAGGCAGAGTGAAAACTCTACCAATGTTTGTACCTAATAAATGTATTACCACATTTCAGGAGCAGGGAATGTTGACCTTTGGGAACATTCAGGAATTCACACCCCAAATAGCCTGACTGGATGAAATTTTTATCTTCCTCTGCCAGAAGGACAGGAGAAGCACATCTCTCTTGTAAAGAGAGCCTGATGTGACTGAGCCCCGATGTGCTTGTTCCCCACCTTCTTGAGGTCAGACTGGAGGTTATCACTTCTCAATTCCAGAGTTTTGCCAAATGGCTGATAGTCCAGCAGTCACCTAATCTGGATCATCAATGACTGCAGTTACTCAAATGATGCACATGTGCCATCTTAAAATGCAGGAGGTACATTTGGATGATCTCAAACTACTTCCTAAAAGGAATATTTGGGACTCTTGTGGAGAGAGCACTGGGGAGGCAGTGAGTGCGCACATGTTAATGAACATAGGTATGGCATGTGCATTGGACGAGTTACAATGATGCATTTCCCAGTCAGTTCAATGCAGCTGCCTGGGGCAAGTGCTGCTCTAACACGTGGCTGTAAAGAAATGCAACATTACCCTCTAGGGCAATCTTCAGATACTCCCACACACACCTCAGGCCCCAAGTAGAGACAAAGGAGAGGAAAGATGTGATGACATTCTAAGGAGAGACATCAAAGTGGGTTTTATCTGCAGTTTATCAGAGACAGGAGATGTAGAACATAGACATATGGAAATAACATTCTCATCTCAATTCAGAGGTTCAGCTACATGATCCCACCACATTCTGCAGCCCTGCTTTCTTCTCTAAGGGTTAAAATACTCTCCTCTACTTCACCAGAGTCCTCCCTCGCTCTTGGTACTTCCAACTTCCCATCTCTAGAGTAGGATGTAAAGGGGTTACTTGTCATGATCTGAACCATACAGTGTCCTGGGTGTGGAGCTGCAGGCTAATGAAATGTGTTGGAGCAAAACCAGCTGTTAAGCAGTGATTGATGTGCAGGGCCATAGCTTGGTCTTTCTGCAGTGGTGAGAGCATTACACTGTGCTGCTAATGTTCTTCTCTGCTGAAGTCTGGCTTCTGTGAAGTTCTGTGGGTTCATCACTAAAGGCACCTTCCAAGATTCCTTGCACTGATTGACGTACCTTTGCCCTGAAGTCCCGTCCCACAAAAACGTAGAGCAGGGGGTTGATGCAGCTGTTCGCATAGGCAAGTGCTGTAGAGAGGTGATCCCATAGGATCAGTGACTCTGTCAGTCCTGTTCTAGGTATGAGGGAGAGAATCCCAACTACGTGGTATGGAGCCCAGCAGATGAAGAACGCAGCTACCACGAGCACAACTGTTCGCAGCATCCTGTTGCGTGGTTTGCTGAACTGATTTGCCTGTGTCCTGAAAACGATAAGGACGTAGCAAACTGCCATTATGCCAAAGGGGAGCACAAAGCCAAAGACAGCCCTAGTGATGTTTATTACCACTAAGGCAAGGGGTACAGAATAATCACCTTCATAGGTATTTCCCAACAAGTCATTACTGTGGTAGGATAAAGGTGAGTATTCTTCCCATGATGCATTTACAGACTCATTTATATAATCTAGCACCTGATCATCTCCAAAACTGTACCCACACTCAGTTTTGCCATCATAAATGCTTGTCTCACGGTAGTAGAAGACAGGACAGCAGAAAATGAAGGCCAGGATCCAAATGCCACTGCATATTAGCGATATAAATTTCACTGTTCGATGGTTTTGACACCAGACAGGTTTCATGACGAGGAGGCACCGGTCGATGCTGATGGCCACGAGTAGGAAGACACTAGCAAACATGGTGAAGATTATGACTGACGGAATGACTTTGCAGAGGAACCAACCATATGGCCAGCGTTCATGGAGGGCCAGGTGAACGATGAAAAATGGCAAGGACAAGCAGCACATGATATCAGCCACAGCAAGGTTTAGGAACCACACAGTGTTCACAGACCTTTTCATTTTCAGACCAGCTACCCAGATTACCAATCCATTGCCTGGGATACCTGTGATGAAAACGATGATGAAGATAGCAATCGAGACAATTGATGCCGATGCATAGTATACAGCAGCCTGTTCCTCTGAACTGCTGTTGCCCAGGAGTTGAGGCATTCTGCAGCTATAAAATAGAAAGCAGATTAGTAGCAAGTCACATTCTCCTTCCCAAATTCTCTCTTAATCTTTCATGAAGCATCCTGAGTCAGGGGACAGTACAGAGCTGTGAGGGTACAAAGGCATTGGTCTATACAAGTTTGTGCTGAAGGCTTACTAATGTGACCATTGTACACTTTCATCATTCTCATGGTAGCTAAACTACATAAGCCCCACTATTCAAACAGCTGTGTGCACTTACATTCTCCTGTCTCTGCCACCCCCTTTGAAATCTGGTTCTTTTTAGTCTCCAAAGTGGAGCTCTCTATTCACATGGCCATGCTGTCCCAGGTGTTTCCTGATTGCCTTCCTGCTTTGACTACACTTCTCAGAAAGGGAAATCCGTGTTTTTGAGTGCTGTTCCCTTTAAAACAAGCGATTTCCTCAGGCATAACCAGTGAAATACATTTAGGCTAAGAAAGCAGTGCTTGTCTTTATGAAATAGCCCTGCTCTGCTTTTTGGACATTGTAAATAGAACACATAAAACAGCAACTCTGTTGCTAAGGGGTATTTTAGGGCTAAGGGGTATTTTAGGGAAGTCTCAGTAACCACTCAGTAACCACTGCTGGTTCTTTGGAAAGCTAGTCTTGATGAGGAGAAAGGTGAGAAATGAATGGCTTAACAGGCAGAGACTTATTCGTAGAAACAAAAATGAAAATACAGAGTAATAGCAGTAAGGTTCTTGAGCCACTTTAGATATAAGAGGTGCCTTATTGCAAGACAATGAAGTTGTGCTACCACAGACCTAAACGACATTTTTAAAACTATGAGAGCGGTAGAGGAACAATGTTAATTGCTCAATTATTCTTGGACTTACTAAATTTAGAAGGGAAAGGAAAACTAGCAAAGCCAAGATAGAACTGAGAAAAAGAGCCCAATCTTCATCCTTTAGATATTAATAGAATTGTCTATAAAATGCCTGTTAACTAAATTCTTGCTGAATCAATGAAAGCAGTTGTGTTGCTGAAAGGTCCCTAAAATGTTACTAAAATGCAAGGAAGCTGCATAGTTAAGAGCTGAATATAGCCTGCAGAAGCAACTGAGAAGACATGAATAACATAGCTGACCCTCTTTTAACCTCTGTTATTCCAGTACTTAAATGACAGTCAGGGACTGTTTTGTGCAGGACTACATATCAAGATTATTGAAAAAATTTAATTCAAATCATCCATCTCCTTCTTGCATAACATATAGTCTAAATGTGGAGCGATGCATGAGTGTTAGAACTGCTTCACCGGGAAGAAAATTAGATCGTAATTTTCCAGTTTTTGGTAATAACTGCTAAGAAGTTTTAAATGAGGGTGACCTGCAAGAAAAGCCATGAAAGAAGTCTCTGGAAGACTTAAAGCTGGAGTCTTAACTTAAAATTCTAGCAAGTTTGTTCCAACTCCTGTGGTCTTGCTGATACATGCAGAAGTGACTTTAGCAGGGACAACTGGAGAACAGTGCTGCAGGAGCTGAATTTTGCTGCCTTCCCATATAGCTACAGAAAATGGTGTGAAGGGGATAGGGAACCAAGGAATGCTATAAAGAACAGTAATGCAAGTCCTACGCCAAAGTAAACGCAGAGATGAATCAATACGAAGATACTGCCCACTCTGTGTTTTCAAGGGTGCTAAAAGGGCTGGAATGTTGTTCAAAAATGGAAGAGGGAACTGGAAGAGAGAGAGAGGTTTTCAGGAGCGAATAATAATAAATTTCAAGAAGAGGAAAGCAGCCTATGATACCTACCTGAGTGAAGTTATTTCAGTGTGTCAGGGAGCAAGTACCATCAGTCCTGTCTCTGGAGTTACTGAAAAAAGAAACTCACATGACATTTTAGGAACTGCTTGTCGTTTCCTGTATGTGTGTGCCAAGTGTGTTCTTTTACCCTGATGGAAAGGCTTAGAATGACTCATATTTGAAATTTTAGATATCATCTGCTCTTTAAATAAACAGTCAAACCAAAAGAAGTTGTCCTGATACCGTCAAAATAAAATAGTACCCTAAATAAAACATTAATAGAAAGCAAAGGAATAATGTGCACAGACCTATACTTTACTAAAGTTTCCATAAGACAACTGAATGACATCTTGCCTGTTGGCATTGTACTGACATTTGCTCGATGTAATTCACAATTCCAAACTCTGCCATGTTACTGCCAAATGTCTGACCTGTTGTCTTGTAGCCACTTCCATGTTTTATCAGATCAGCACGTTCACCTAGTTAATCCTGTTCTTCTCGGATTCTTATCAATCCAGATCAGCTTCTGTCCCAGCTTGAGACAGTTTAGAACATTGTATTCAGCAAACCATGACTGGTCATGTCAAAGGGATTTTAATCTGACTTTTACCTTTCAGCATATTTAAACTCTATTTTTTAAGAAGGAACTTGACTGACGGAAAGTTAGAAGTGGTTGACTGAAATGCTGACTGCACAAAATGTGGCAAGGCGATAAGAACCAAAGAGCTCTAGGGCAAGGCATTTCAAATGTTTTAGCAAGGGGTTCCCCCTTGCCCCTCACAATTTGGCAAATCAAGACTGCTAGCAGAAATTACAAAGCCCAGACGTTCAAGAATCAGCCCCAGTATTTTGGTTTCGGTCTGGGAAAGGAATTGTGACAGAGCAAAGTTCTGCTCCTGAGCGTGTTTCTGTGAAAACCACCAATGCTGCCTCCAATAAAAAAACCATGAAACCAGAAACAGGAAGACAGGAGAGGGCTGGGCTATATTCCCAAGGATAGACAGGCAGTCTGCCAGGAAAATTTCTCTAGCTGCATTATATTCTCAGCTGCCATTCTTCCTGCAAGACCCCTCTGACCCAGACAGGCAGTGCTGATAAGAGGTTACTTTCACGGGCTCCTGTTGGCCAAGGGACACACAGCCTGGTCACCACCGTGGGACTTGCTAGCTCTGGTCAGGCTCTAGTTTGCAAGAAGGTCCTTCTCCACTAGTTTTGCTTCTCCAAGTTAAAACCTCTCTAAGCTTTGGTGTTAATCCCAAATTATCACATCGCATTTTCTTCTCTTCTGGCTCACTCCATTCCCCTTTTGATGTACAGACTGAGCTAGCTGAGAAAGGCTCTAATTCACAGAATCACAGATTAGTTGAAGTTGGAAGGCTGTCTGCAGACTGTCTAGCCCAACCCCACTGCTCAAAGCAGGGTCAGCTAGATAAGATTGCGAAGGACCGTGTCCAATTATGTCTGGGTATCTCCAAAGAAGGAGAGTCCACAAATTCTGCAGGGCAATTTGTTCCAATGTTCAGCCACGTTCACAGTAAAAAAAATGATTTTTTTTTTTTGGGGGGGGTGGGGGGTCAGATAGAACTTCCTGTGTTTCAGTGTATCTCCCTGGCCTCTTGTCCCAAGCTCCACAGAGAAAAGTCCATCTCCATTAAACACTCCCATCAGACAGATGAAAAAAATCCCCCTAAGTCTTCTCTCTTCTCCCCAGGTTGGATGGGGCATTGAGCAACCTGGTGTAGTGGGAGATGTCCCTGCTCATGGCATTGGGGTTGGAACTAGGTTATTTTTGAAGTCCCTTCCAACCGAAAACATCCTATGATTCTCTTCTCCAGGCTGAGCAGTTCCGTCTCTCTCAGCCTGTCCTTGCATGACAGGTGTACCAGTCCCTTAATTGCCTTAGTGGCTCTCCACAAGTTTCACTCCAGTATGTCCACATCTCTGTAGTAGTGAGGAAGCCAGAACTGGACCCAGCACTCTAGACGTGGCCTCACTAGTGATAAGTAGAGGGGAAGGATCACCTCCCTTGACCTGCTGGCAACACTCCCCCTAATCCAGCCCTCGCAATTATTGGCATTCTTTTCTACAAGGGCATATTGGCAGCTTATGTTCAACTTTCTGTCCACCAAGACCACAACATCATCATTCTCTTCAAAGCTGCTTTCCAGGTGCTCATCCCCCAGCATGCATTAGTGCATGGGGTTCTTCCTCCCCAGGACTTTCCATCTCTTCTTGAACTTCATGAGGTTCCTGTCTGCCCAGTTCTCCAGGATGTCCAAGTTCCTCTGAATGGTGGCACAGACACCTGGTGCTTCAGCCACTCACACCACTCCTGTATAGTCTGCAAACTTGTTGAGGGTGCACATTACTTCATCATCCAGGTCATTAATGAAGAGTTAAACAGTACTGGAACCAGTGTCAGCTGCAGCTGGACACCACTGGTGACTGGTCTACAGATGGACTAAGTTATTCTGATCACCACTCTCTGAGCTCAGCAGTTCAGTCACTACTCAGTCCACCCCACTCTCTGCTTGCCTAGCCCATATTCCAGCTCAGGTAAGCACAAACTTTGGACACCAAGCAGGAAACAAAGCCTGGAAAAATTGGTACCAACATAAAACCTACATAATCAAAAAAAATAGCCCTTCACAATAACAGTGTCTCAGTGAAAGAAACACCATTTGAAATAGTATATGGTGTGTTTTGTAAAAATGCTCATAACTTTTGAGTTATCTAAAGAGTCATTTTGTGAGACCGGTTTCCCCTGTACCTTCTGTGCAGAAAATTCCAAACACTGGGTACAATGAAGTAGATTCCTGGACAATGCCTTATTTTTTCTTAAATAGGCAAAGCAAAAGCCCGAGTGATTCTTTTGCATGGTTTATTGTGAGGCTACCTACAGATTGGCATGAACAGTGCATTTTACTCTACTTACACACCTCACATGATTGCACGTTGTGGAGTTCCATCCAAGATTTCTGCTGTTCCTTGTTTTCTGTTCATTGAAGATTTCTGTGTGGGAAAAATTTGGATCCTTCATTGCTTTCATAGTCTGATTTAAAATATGTTCTACTTCAAGATTTCAATCTCGCTGCTGAATTCTTTATAATTTCTTGGTGCAGAGATGCCTGTTTGAACCAGGCAGAAAAATGCTATGGTCTCTGCTGGTTAAGTCTCAGTGGAAATGATGTGAGATGTATTCCTGGAGTCCTGGTGCTTGTGAATTTTTCCTCACATGCCTTATCACAGCTGGCCCTTTGCCACTCTCTCATCCTAGAAGGACCGTAGGAGGTCTGTAGCACACTGAATGACAGCACAGTAAAGAGATAGGTGAAATTTAATATTGCTAATTGTGAATCACTGAACTTAGAAAAGCAACTAACTATACACACAGAGGGATGTACTCCAGAGAAGTTATTAGAACTCTAAGAAAAAGCTTTAGCAGTCACTGCAAGATGTTCTCTGAAAAATCATGTCAACACACAACTCAGTCCAAAATGTAACAGGAAGCATTCATTGCTTCTTGAATAATGGATACTGTAGTAGTCCCTGATCTTAAAAAGAATTATAGAATCAAAAATAATACAGAAAACGATGACTAGACAGCCACTGCTGGGAATGGCATCTTTTGGTGGACAAGCTAAATAGATGAGAATTGTTCACCTTGGAAAAGAGACAGGTGGCAACATGAGAGACATGAATTCTTATTTAAAAAAAAATTACTTTTTTTCATATTGCACAATTAGATTCATAGCTCCAGAGATGATATGGGTAACTAGAAGTACCAATAAGTTTTAAAAAAAATTAGTTAAGTCCACAGAAGACTATAAAATATTGCTAAGAAATGCACTAAACCCCTGGCCCTCAAAGCCCTTACCCCACAGACTGCTAAGCTACTCAACTAAAGAAGTGTAATTCTGTGCTGTTTTACAGGCTTTCTTTAAGTTCTTCTGCAAGGCTTACCTCTCATTCACATCTTCACCTTAATTCTGCAATCTGACAAGCAGTTCAACATTGGCACAGTGCAAGGAGGGAGGCTGAGCTGCCTCTTACACACATATCTGCATTGAGTGTGGGTGCCACGTATTCCTACTGGCTCCTGTGCAGGCTGCATGGAAGGGTTCACATCTCTCTCCCTGGGCATTTAACTGTCACTTACCAGATCTATGGATCAGCAGATCAGGCTCCCTTTTTTTTTTCCAAATGCTTTCTGCACTGGGCATTGTCAGAGATGCAATGTTGGGCTAGTTGGATGGCCTGACAGGATGGCTTGTTTAACTGCTCTGACTGAGGTTCGTTACCATCCTGCTCCACTTACCTCTGGAAACAGCAAGAAACAAAATTCCATGTTTCAGCTCTCCCTGCATTAACTAAGGCTATTGCACACCAGAAAAATAAGAGAGTAATTCCTCAAACTCACAGAATCATTAAGGCTGGAAAAGTCCTCTGAGATCATTGAGTCCAACCTTTGACCAATCACCCTTGTCAACTAAACCATGGCACTAAGTGCCTCGTCTATAGCTGTTTCTTGAATACTTCCTGGGATGGTGACTTCCCTGGGCAGCCTGTTACAATGCTTGACAAAGAATGCTTAGATATGGTTCTATATAATTTCATAACTTTTCTTATGCCTTTTCTTCCAGTTATCAGAGTAAATGTTTGGTGTTTTAGAGGCTCAGTCACAGGCCACTGCAACACCAGTGTTCACCAAGAAGTCACCATTGAAAACATGGTTTAAATGCTGCTTTTGCCAATTTTAGGAGCTCTCTAGACACAGAGTGTAGTTTAGAAAGGAGACAGTGTTTATTCTGAGCAGGGCGCAAGGTGAAAGTTTCCACAAATCAAGCACACCAACCAACAAAACTTTTTACTATTTATACATTTTAGCAAACACTAAAGGAATTAGTGTTACTTGGCTACAAATCACATAGTTCTCTTATTAGTTAGTACTCTATCTTCTGTTGATTAATGATTCTGTGTCTTCTCATTCTAATTAGTCTGCACACCCAGTCTTTCTCTTCTTTTGGGTCAGTGGGTTTCTTGAGTCGGTGGTGTGTGAGTGGGTGGTTATGATCTCCCCCTGCCGGAATTCCCTTTTACCCACTCGGAGCTGAATCAGCCCGGGTTGCCGAGTTGTCTTTATTATTTTCTTCCTTATCTTGGGAGTTCTGCCAAATGTCCTTGTGGCCTGTAAATTCTGCGTTCTTTGTGTCTACTATCAGTGTTACATCCTTCTCCCCAAGCTTTGTTAACCTCCCCCTAGGTCTGAGGTTATTGAAACATGTCCAGCCCTAACAAGGTAACTCTACCCACAAGTAATTTGTCTTTCGAACACCTGGACATCACTTAGAGCTTGCTGGTTAGCTGCTCTCAGTTTCACAGATTAAACCTCCCTTGTTGTTGGTTAGGCATGAACGTATAAAAAGATCAAACATCAAAGAACATCCTTTCTTAAAGGAATTTTTACATATTCCGTATTTTTGCAACAATTAGGCAGTACTCGCTTCACAACCCCCTCCTCATTTCCTGTAACTATCTGGACAAATTGTTGATTTCTCTGACCCTTGAGATGTCAGCATCCCTGCTAGTCCTAACTAAATCGATAAATAAACTAGTATTTACTAGTTTACACCACATTTCTGGGGAAGCCACGCTCCTGAAATTAACTTTGGCGCAGCTGGCATTTCCATCACTTCCAGCTGCAAAACCCGTAGGGCTTCGTGCCACGTTTTCTATTCGGTTTGCCATTTCACCGAAAAGCCAGGGGACCCCAGCACCACAGAACGCCCACGTTCACTCAAACCCCCATGTCCGGCCCGGGGCTGCCCACACGGGCAAGTCGGCACAGACAGCCCCGCTCCCCCCGCCATCCCTGAGGACGGCGCCCCACACAAACATGGCCGCGCCAGCCCCGCCGCGGGACCTTGCCAGGCTCCAAGATGGCGCCAGGTCCCGCTGCGGTGTCAGAGGCGGCTCCAAGATGGCGCCCTCCCGCCCCCAGGCCCGGATGCCAGGATCCAAGATGGCTCCCCCCGCCTCTCCGACGTGGCTCGCGTCCGGCACGGCCGCCCCCAGGCGGTGCGTGCCCTCATCAAAGATGGCGGTGGGTAGCGCCGCTGGTCATTAGGCTGCTGCCGCTCGCTCTTCGCCTGGGTTCGTGCTCGAGATGGCAGCGGCCGAGCTGGAGTACGAGTCCGTCCTCTGCGTGAAGCCCGATGTCAACGTCTATCGCATCCCGCCTCGCACCTCCAACCGTGGATACAGGTGAGGCAGCGAGCGGCGGCGCCCGCGATCACCCCGTCTTGGCACGGCCCGGCCCGGCCCGGCCCGGCCCAGTCCCTGGCCGCAGGGCAGCCAGGGCTCCGAGCGAGGCCTTGGGGAGCCGTGTCCCACGGCCGCGAGCGAGTCTGGCTCGTTCCATGAGCCCCCGCCGGCCACAGCTCGGGGGCACCCGCCGCCTTGGGTTGCCTCTTGGAGGTGGTCAGCACCTGAAAGCAGACGCGTGTGCTCCGTGCTGTGCAGGAGCAGGGGGTGTTCTGTCAGTCAGGTGCAGGAGGTGAGGGCGCTTGAGCGCCCTGCTGTTCCAGGCGGAGCTGACCGCCGCTCCCGGTTTGTTTGCTCGGTCAGCGGGGATGTGGCTGAGGTGCTGGAACGGCGCGTTGGCTTTGGCCTGTTCGCTCCGGCTGCAGCGGGGAGGAAGGCGGGAGGAGTTCTGCATTATTTCTAATAGGAGGCTGCAGGACCAGCAGGTAGAAATACCTTCTCTGATTATTCGACAGCAGTGGTGTGTGGTTTTATAAGCTGTGACCGCAGGCCTGCTGGAGACGGGGATTTGTGTACTCCCTGAACTTGACAGACTGTGGGTGCTGTGCATGTTGTACCAGGCCACGGATGTTTGTCTGCAGTTGTAAAATCGTGTTGGTTTTACAGCATAAAGTCTCCCAGAGTTCAAGTATTTTTTGCACAATGCTTTCAGACACGTGGTGTGATTCTTGATGATGTCCTGCACAGGGTCAAGAGTTGAACTCTATGATGCTTGTGGGTCCCTTCCAACTCAAAATATTCTATGATTCACTCGGTTGGGGTTTTTTCTCTCTTCCCTTTTCCTTTTTTTCCCTTCACAAGACTCTGTGGTAAAGACTTTGATGGGCTAGACAGAATGTATGATGTTTTACCCGGTGTAAGCCAGGTGCCTACAGGTTCAGAAGTATTTGATATTAGTTTGCAACACTAGGGTAGAATAATGGAGTAGCATTTCAGCATGCTAATAATTAATTTTTGGGATCTTCCTGATGCTCACAAGTCACTTATTAGTCGCTTGTGGATTTCCTGTTCAAGTGAGTTTCTGGGCTTCTGTCCCCCCTCTTCTGTAGGGTTATAAATAGAGAGAGTTGATGTTCTCTGGACTGTGTCTGTTTCCCTTTACCCAGAGAGGCCAGTCAAAATCATGTGTGTTGATTGGCAGCAGCAGAAAGGAGCTGAGAACCCCATGCGTTGTTTGGGGAGGGAAGTGGAGTGAGGCAGTTGCAGGTGTTGAGGGTTTGGGAGGAGAGACTTTTGCTGAGATAGTTGGGCAGAAGTAGAAGGGTTGATGTATGGTCAGTGATCAGCTGCTTGTCCTTTCAGGGCATCTGACTGGAAGCTGGACCATCCAGACTGGACAGGGCGGCTTCGTGTCACCTCCAAAGGCAAAACTGCCTACATAAAACTGGAGGATAAGGTTTCAGGTAAGGCAAAGGCTGTGCCTTGTCAAGACTGCAGCTGTGATTGCTGCTTGCGAGCCTGTGTTTCTCAGCCTGCTCAGAGCTCTGTGTGGCGGCCCTGGCCACGTTTGGCAAGAGGTTGCTCTCTTTAACGCCTGATTCTTTGTCCGCAGGAGAACTCTTTGCCCAGGCTCCCATAGATCAGTACCCTGGCATTGCAGTAGAGACTGTGGCAGATTCCAGCCGCTACTTCGTCATTCGAATTCAGGATGGCACTGGTGAGTTGAGGGACAATGTATGTGCCAAGTGCTACGGGTGGAGGAGACTTAGCCTGGTGGAGCTGGGTGTGTGCCAGGTGGATTGGAACTCTGTTGGGAGTGCTGGCAAGGCCAGGTAGCGTGCCTGGAGGGATCAGAAGCTGAGGTAAACAGAGGAGGTTCTCCACGCTGTACAGAGCCCAGGGGCTGGGAAGGAACATTTGGTTTCTGAGTGTGCCCCGTGGGAAGAAGGGTGTATCCTGAAGGCTAGGAACAGTGAGCTGCTGGTGTTCAGCTGCAGCTGTGTTGGAGGGAGGTAGCACAAAGTGATTTAGGAGAAGCAGAAGGATTTTGGAGCGAATGAACACAAGGGCCCATTTGCAGGGCACCTCCAATGACTCCTCCTATCTCCTTGCTAGGACGAAGTGCTTTTATAGGCATTGGCTTCACGGATCGTGGTGATGCCTTTGACTTCAACGTCTCTTTGCAGGATCACTTCAAGTGAGTTGTGCTTTTCTGGAATGCTGTTTTTCCTCTGGCCCATAGAACGTGGCGGGTGGTGGTGCCTGGTCATTCAGCGTAGGCTTCCCTGGGATGGTCCTGAAGCCCTGCTCTGGCAAGGGACACTAGAATGTGCTGCCAGCTGTTGTGCAAGCTGAGAACCCCGTGGGGTCAGGTCTGTAAGTCTTCAGCTTAGGTCCTGTGATGCTCCAGATGCAGTGTTAGGCAGTCTTTTGGGTTTGTGGTGATCACAGCTTTTTGCTGTACTACACTGGGAGTAGGGAGGTAGCAGGTTTGACAAGGCAAGGTAGTTTGGTGGGATGGGGAGAGAAACTACACATCTTTTTTGAAACCCTGCTCCCTTTTGCCACAGGGTCTTATGTCCTCCTCTCTTCTTTTTAGGTGGGTGAAGCAGGAGACCGAGATCTCCAAGGAGTCCCAGGAAGCTGACACACGTCCCAAATTAGATTTAGGATTTAAGGAAGGGCAGACTATCAAACTAAACATTGGGGTAAGCAGACCAGTTTACCCTGCTTCTTTCTCTGGGTATGTCAGTGGAGACTCTTCTTACATGTCCTTTCTTTTTATACAGAACATGACGACAAAGAAAGGAGGAGCAGCCAAGCCCCGTGCGTCTGGATCAGGTGGCCTAAGCCTGCTGCCACCCCCACCAGGAGGCAAAATTGCAGCCCCTCCTATTCCTCCCCCCTCTTCCACAGCCATTGCCAACCACGTCACGCCACCACCTGTGCAGAAATCCAGTAATGCGAGCGGTGCAGGTAAACATTAGCACGGAGCAAATGGTCAGGCACTGGTAGGTGCTTAGAGAGAACTGAGATCTGCTGCAGCAAATCCATGTTCAGCCTGTGCCAGCAGTGCCCTGTAAGACATGGTGTGTCCCTGCTGTCTTTGGCAGCTCTGGTGCCCCAGTGCGAGAAAGACGTGGGCCTGCTAACTTGGGTCCCGAGGAAGGCCATGGAAATGGTCAGAAGGCTATGGAAATGGTCAGAAGGCTGGAACACCTCTCCTGTGAAGAAACACTGAGGGGATTGGAGTTGTTCTGCCTGAAGAAGGCAAGGCTCTGGGGAGACCTTGTTGTGGCTTTTCAGTATATAAAGGAATCTTGTAAGAAAGATGGAGACTTTTTTACCAGGGCCTATAGTGACAGGACAAGGGGTAAAAGCCTAAACTGAAGGAGGGTAGATTTAGATTGGATATCAGGAATAAATTCTTTACAGTGCGGGTGGTGAGGCTCTGTAACAAGTTGCCCAGAAAAGCTGGGTACTCCTTCACTGGAAGATTTCAAAGGCCAGATTGGGGAGGGCTTTAGCAACCTCATTTAGTGAAAGATGTCCCTGCTCATGGCATAGCAGTTGGACTGGATGAGCTTTGAAGGTCCCTTCTAATCTCAACCATCCTGTGATTCTATAACAAAGAGGTTGCTGCAGTCTTCTGGAGGCTGTACTAAAAATGTGACCGTGCAGAGATGTCTGGAGAGCTGATGATACCCTTATGAAGGCAGAGACTTCAGCAGTGCTGTACATAGGTTTGAGCGAGAAGAAACCACAAGCTTCTGAATAGGGCTTGTGTGGTTCCAGAGTGTGGGTTTTGGTGTTAAAGTGATGCCTGTTTGGCAACTGTTATGATTGCTGAGCCTTATGTCTACTGGGAGAGGTAATAGGTCACAAATCTGCCAGTTGGTGCGCTAAGTGGAGACCAAAAAGTTTGCTGTACCCTTGCAGTGTGAGCTGGAGGCTCTGTGCATGTTCAGTAAAAGATCATGTTGTTACAACAAACTTCTTGAAAAGTAACTTCCTTCTTCTGGAAGGAGAGCTGGAGTTTCTTCAAAGATTTTCTGCTCCTACATCCAGGAGTTTGTTAAAGGTGACAGTTTAAATGCCTGTGGGGTTTTCTTCTTGCTAAGCTTATTTTTTTTTTTAATTTTTTTTCCTTCTCTCCTCCCGTAGATATTCTATTAGACTTAGATGCTCCTGCATCTGCATCCAAGGCACCAGTACCAGCTACCACAGACCTCTGGGGAGACTTCAGCACTGCATCCAGGTAAACTCTGATGAAGGGAACACAAGAAGAGTGGTGTCTTAATGGGTACTTGAAGAACCATAAGTTAAGAAGTCTTATTATATCTGCCCCTTTGACTCTCCTTTCTTTATTGCAGCGCTGTGCCCAATCAGGCTCCTCAGCAGTCCAACTGGGTCCAGTTCTGAATGATCAAAGCAGTGGAATGGGGCAAACTGATGACCAGGAGGCACTGGAGGCACCAAATGGGATCAGAGGGGGCACAAACCACTCTAGTCTTCAATCAAAAACAAATTTGGACAATCTCTAATTTTTAAACCAGACCTTCACTTCGGTAAAAACTTACAATTTTTGATCCTACTGAACCTAAAGAGAACATACTGACTCCTCCCAAGATGGGCAAGGAGGAGAGAGGTAGCCTTATCTCTTCCGCCTACTTGGCCATTGCATGGTACATCCTAGCTCCTTTTCCCTGTCTTTCCACACAGGGAAAGCAAGAATCCTAAAGAAGGTGGGTACAGGAGTAGGCTGGGTAGGTGCCCCTGAGTTCCTTGTCCTCTAAATTTTCTCTGGTTACGTTGTTGCTTTTTGTGGCTGTTTCCAGCAGTGACTCCAGTCTCTGCCGCTTGCAGTGCTGAGGACAGCTGCATTTGGCTGCAGCTGGTAAACGGAACCTGTAAGGAGATAGTTCTTGTCTCAACACAAAACCCTGTTGGATTAATGTGGTGAACCCTGTTCATCTGTGGTGAGCCTCCCCCTGCACACACTACTCTTCTTGTCTCTGGTGCAGTTCTTGGTAGTGCTGGATCTTCCTGTGCTCTTGTGGGAGGAGTCACCCAAGTCCTTGAGCAGACCTACTGCCACTGCGCTGTAGCTCCTGGTGGGCACCCTGTCTCCAGGCTCCATATTTGGCTTGAAGGTTGGCTGGAGCAACTTAGGCCATTTTAACTCCTTTCTCCCTGTGCAAAGGCCTCACTGTCACTGAGCTGTTTTAACTGGAAATAGCTTTAAAAAAAAAAACACAAAAGGACAGTTGTTATAATTTGGTAGTTACTTGCACTTAGATGACAACAAAGTAATTCCCACCACTTAGCATTTCATGTTCCTGCGTCACTATCCTGAGCCCTGGCCTTGTTATGTGACTTGGCACTGTACAAGTATTGCATATCCATGCCACAGTAGGAATTATGGTGGGACAGTGGATTATTTTCTGGAGAAGGACAGTCTTCTTCCTCTTTTTCAGCTCACGCTTACCATTTGGGTAAGAAATGTATAGTAGGCCCAGTCTTGAGGACTGGCAGCAAAAATCTCCCGCCTATATTCCTTATTATAGCTTTTCTTCTGAGGCTAACTTTGTAGGGATGCGAGCTGGCAATTGGATCTTGGATTTTATTCTTAAATTTTTAATGTGCCCCAAGCCCCCTCTATTTTCTGTGTGGTTTAGGGGTTTAGAAAGAAGGTAAAGGGCCCTTACTCTCTGCTTTTCTCTTTGGGAGAGCTCCCTGAGGCCCCTTGATGTGGATGCTACTTCATCTTCAGCGTATGAATGTGATCTGGGGTGTAAGTCTGTGATTACTCTGGGCAAAGCGCACAGGGCAGGCTGGAAACCTCACAATGCTGGCTACCCTTCATGCTGGCTCATAAGCCAAAACACTAGCTGGGAAGGTGATCTCAGTGACTCTTGGACAGCTGTACCCAGTTACTGGAACACTAGGGTTTTGGTGCTTCACTGGAAGGCTTCTTCCTGTTTTGAACACTCAACACAGCAACACTTTTGTGTCTCTAGCACACCTCTGCAAGTAAACTTTTGCCTTTGGGCAAAAATTTTCTGGTGAGGCTTTTAAAAGAGTAGTTAGATGTATGCACCTTGTACTGGCCTAAAGGTCTCTTGTCATTTTTGTCTTCTTATTACACTGAGGGCATTTTGGAGACAAAGTTTCACTTAGACCATCCCTCTGGGAAGCAACATTATTGAGATAGCTCTAAAGCTGCTGCAGTTCCACTTGTGGAAGTGGGGACCAGACTGCTGTTGGATGTATTTTAAGTAGTCATTTAATCCTGATTCTCTGGCGCTCTTGGTGTTTCCCCCTTGCCTTCATAGTCACTCCTGCAGTCTCACTGCACTTCAACTTCCTGCCTCCTGAAATTGTGGATGGCTATAGTCTGCCAGTGAAGTCATGGACTCTGCTGGTTGGCTTTTTGTTTTCTTTGTCTTTTTATGTTTGCTCAAATCCTAGTGAGGTCCTGTCATTTCAACTATGTATCAAATCCCCAACCAAGGAAGTTCATGGCACCAATTAACAACTAACTAGAAGCCTCTTCTGTATTGTCTTAGTATTCTGGAGATAATATATTATGTATTTGAAAAGCTGAAGAAGCAAAAATTAAAGATATATGTATATAAAGCAAGATGTACTGGTGCAAATGATAATTAAACAAGTAATATTGGGGAAAAGAGTGTATGAGTCTTCTCAGTTGTCAAACTGTTGTTGACCTGGAAGCCTCTAGGTTGGATGTCTTCATGTCTCCAGCAAGATCCTTGTAACCTGCTTACCCTTCTGAATATGTGTTACGGCCTGCAAACTGGACAAGAGCAACCTCAGGAGTGAATGAGTTCAGGCACTCTCTGGTCAAAGAGGGAGGAGTATGGAAGAAGAACACAGAAATGACATGGCTGCTCCACATGGGGAAAAACACTGCATGACACCGAACACAAATCAGCAATACAGAAACAGGCCTGACTGTAGGTGCATGTGATGCTTGATAAGAGTGTGGATAAAACTACAAGTGAGAAAAGTTACCCTTACATTTAGCATTTCAGACACTAGAGGCTTCTGCAGCCTGCAGATACTTTCAGAAATGATTCTTGCCATGCTGGTAGGTAGGAAGCAGTCTCTGCTGACTGCAGAGGTGGGCAACGTGAGCTTTGTCAGGGGCAGCAAGGGCAGGCTGCTTGGAAAGAGAACAAGCTGGAAGCTGAGTCACAGGAGGGCAAGCAGGGGGCAGTGGCCTCACCAGCAAAGAAGCAATCCTGCAGTACTTGAGCACAAAGATCAGAGCAGGTCAAGGTGAGGATTTAGATCAGCAGGGTATGTGGCCAGATGTGGGCATGGCTGCTTTAGCTCAGACAGGGATCAAGGGTGAGACCCTTAGCTATGATAAGCCCGCAGGCCAACTTTGCTAGTTTCTCAAAGCCAGATGCCTCTATTACTTAAACTGGACCTGAGTCCAGGCAGCCAGTCTGCCAGAAGGTGGAAAATACGCTCAGGGCCCTGAAGTTCTTCTGTCAAGCCTGCATACAGCCATTGTCTTGCACAGCCACGCTTGCTCAGTGTTTGTGTGCCAGATAGCAAAGCTGTGCATATGGCTGTGTTGAAAGTACAACACAAGTCTTGTGGCCTGGGTAAAGATGAGAAGTCTTAAACTTTGAAGTTGGCTGTTTGAATTGTCAAATATCTGTGGTGGCTGAAAAAAAAAACGCAAACGACATTTTTTTCAGATCCAGGAGCAAAGCTGTGATCCTGTTTTGGTGGAATGTGGTATAGGTCCTGGCAGGTAGAAGATGAAGCATCATGCCCACAAGCTATGATGAAGTTTCTCTGACTTTTCAGTAGGTACTTGAAGCAAAAAGGATTAAAAGGCCTGAAAGGGTATTTCTCCAGAGCAGGAGGATTTTCAGATGAGGTGCACCTAAGGGAAGTGCAAGGGATATACTCTTGTTTATGCATAAAGAAGCATAGAGGATTGGGAAGCAGCTCATGGGCGAGAGCTTAGTCCCCTCTGGAAATCTTCCCAGTCCCCGTATCTTTCCTCCCACGTGGGTAACTGGTGAAATGACTTGGCCTGGCCTGTGGCTGGACCAGCTGAATTCCTCCATCTCCTTCTGCACTTCCCATGGCCAGTGGTCTCTTCTAATGTAGCAGAAGCCAATAAGCATGCTGCTTCAGACTACAGTTTCTGGTATTGCAGACAATAGTCTTCTCTAGGTAAAGGATCAAGGCCAGGCCCTTAATGTGTATCAGCAGATCAAACTGAGCAGTATCCCCTGAACATTTATGTTCCACATAGTAGATCAGCTGATTTCCTTAGGCTTTTGGGAAGACCTGCCCTCAGTCTGAGAGGGACTAATCAAAGGGGCAGAAAAGTTCATGCCAATTGAGAGGCAGACTGTAGCAAATAGAGTCAGGAAAGAAGTGTCTAAGGGAAGATCCCAGTTTCATCTGGTTTTTGGTGGTTTCTTCTGTGAGAGCTGTAGTTGAGATGGGATGTGAGTTTCCCACCCCCTTTTCCCATTAATTACGTTCTATATTCTGTGATTTAAGTCTCACAGTCGTTCAGCAATTGTTCTTACCGCAGCCACACCATGTGAATTTCAGACCCAAACTTTCTAGACTTCACAAAGCCTTGATGCTGTGTGTGGACTCCTGAAGAAATGGAGAGGAAGAGTTGTCCTTCCAAATAAAAAACAAACAGGAAACCAAAACCCCCAAAGTCTTCCTGAGCATTGGTAATGAAACAGGATCTGAATCTGAACTCAACCTGTTAAATCAGCATAAATCTACGAAGTTCTTGGAGGGAGAACAGCTGGGCTGGTAATGCATAGAAGTGGAGACCTGGGGCCAAAGTAGTTAACACACCTAATGCCTCAAGGTCTAGGCAATATGTTGAGTACTCCTTGCATTATGTGAACAATAGACTCTCACTCTAGAGACTAGAGAGACATTCCCTAAAGGAGGAAGCCGCCTGTAAATTGCAGCCTTGTGTTCTAGGGATGTGTGGTGCTCCCCTGCCCTCCTGGCTCGTTCTGCAAGCCTCATCCGCGATCGGGCGTTGGAAGTTCAGTCTCACCTGTGGCTGTGTGCTGCCATCTGCTGCTGAAACCCTTTGTTGCGGGCTTTCCTGCAATTCCTGGGCTCAGCCACCAGCTTCAGCGGCCGCCTGGCCCCCAGGAATCGGGGGAGTAGCGGGTGGGATGCAGGCAGACATCACCTGAGACCCGGCTAGCACCGGTGAGATGCTCTCTGAAAAGAAATCGCGGCTGCTGATTCTTACTTTGATAATTTGGCACTAATGAATCTGGTGCTTTCAAATGTGACCATGTTCTGCAATCGCAATGCCCTCTGTGTTTCCCTGCTGCACAGAAAGCCTTGTGTGGGGCTTGGAATCAAGCTGTGCCAGGGCAGGCATATATCTCCTCTTGTGGTCCAGTGTATGTACAGGTATGTATTTCTGTTATCTTTGAAGTTTGGCCCAAAGGAACAGCACCCCTCCTAGTCTTTTCTAAAGTGATGTCTAAGCATTTGTCTGTAAGTGCATGTTTATAGTGTTAAGCAAACTGTTCAAAGATGTGTGGAGATGCTATGTCAGTAGTGCTACGCAAACCAGCACTTTGGTTAGCTGGCAGGGACAAGAAGCTGTATTCCAACGAGCAGCAGTCCCAAGTGGGAAGGAGTAGGAGAGCATTTTTTTGGACAATATGTGCTGAAGGGTTATAGATATGGCAACATAAGCTGTATGTCTGGCCCAGAGTTAGGGGCTGCTGTCACCAATACCTAAAGGTGAAGTCAATACCATGGGTATGTGCTGTGCCTGGAAATGACCACTGCATACTTTTTGGTAACAAAAAAAGCCTTTAAGCAATACATTCCATACAGAGGCAGGGTTACTGTAAGCAGATAACCTGCCCTCTGTAGTCTGGTCCAGCTCCAGAAGTAGTCCTGCTTTGAGCAAGGTTTGCACAAGATACCTCCGGTTTGAACTATTTCCTAGCACATCTTTTGTGCCGGGTTGTGGTAGGGTAGGGCCCATGGTGGGCCAGCAGTGTGGTGAGACATCTGACATGGGAGGGTGGTCAGTGGTGGGGAAGGCTGAGGTCTGACAGCTATCTGTCACCTCAGGAAGGGCAGAGGCTGGGCGAGGACCAGGATGGTGTGCTGAGCCTGTGAACAGGAAGCAGGGTCTAAGAGACAGGCCATGTTGCTGCAGGCCAGCGTGAGTCATCAAGCAGCACTTTGCTCTCTGTGTCATCCCAGTTGGCAGCTCCGGGGCCTGCAGGGAGTCAGCAGCAGGGGCCCTTTGCCCTTTGAGTCAATGCTGGCTCCATGCTGGAGCAGAGTACCCTGAAGTGCCATTTGCTTGCCCTTCGCTTTACTGTGCTGACTTTGGTGTCCTACTGTGGTAAAAGTCGGTGACACAGGTATCTGGAGAGTGTGCTCTTCAAAAAAAAATTGCCCTTTACCCATCCAACTGTGTTGACATCTGTGTCGTGAGGAGGCTCCTGCATACAGTTGAACCCCAAAGCTTAAGCCCTCACTGCCTGGCATTCAAACTTTCCTAGCATGTTTCAGTGACGAGGTGCCAAGGAGTGTCTGGCTGAGTTGACTGTTCTTGCTGGGTTTAATTCAGCTTTCTATGGCTGTTTCCAAATGGCCTTTGCCTTGTTGTATCCTGACAGGGCAGTGCAGATGTGGGAGGTCTGCACTCCTCTGGGGAAAGGTGGTGTCCCCCCGTCCTGCTGCTGGCCAGCATGAGGTGGGCTTGGAGGCTGCAAATGGCATGCGGGGCTGCCTTGGCTATGGAGTGCAGGGTAAGGGTCAGCACAGGCCATTTACAATCTCACTGATACATCTGCCCTTGGGGATATGAGTGGGGTGAGGGAGCTCTTCAGGACCAGGGAATTTTGTGCTGCTATTCCAGACCCACCTGCTGGGACAACCTATGCAGGATGGCTGTCCCCAAAACCTCTCTATGAGAAGATTTTACTGTGTGGAGAGGATGTGGAGGGGAACAGCTTGAGATCAGAAAAGAGTGGCCCTAAGATTACAGCATGGGTCTATGTGACCTAACTTGATAACGCCCATAGTTGCTTGGTGGCTGAGGTTGTTTTCCATTTTTGTGCTTTCTTTCCACTCCCCCCATTCCCCCTTCAAAAGAAGGAGATCAGGTGCATTCACCTCACTGGGCAGAGCGTATCCAAACTGAATTCAAGGCTGTTGATGATCTGTGTGATCCTTAGATAGAACTGGAAATGAAGCATGAAGAAATGCTTCTGTGGGGAGGTGTTATGTGGCCACAACTGTTTCATGTGAATCCCACGTGCAGTTTATCTAAGAAGAGAATCTTCACAGCCCTGCCTCTGAAACAGGCCATTGGGGTCCAAACAGGACTTGGATCTGACCCAGGTTTGAAGTCAGGTGTGTAATGCATCTGCAATATCTGGCAACTATCTGGACCTGATTTCCAACAATTTCTGGCCTTGAGACTTGTGACTCCAATCCAAAAGTGGAAGGGGGCAAAGGTGCGATGTTCACAGTAATGGAATAAACCAAAGCTGTGAGATAAATGCATCTGAATGTGTCCTCAGTAGGCTTTGATTGGATCATTTGCTAATTAGGGGAAATGAATGAAACATGTCCCTTCTCTTCTGAAGAAACAAGCCTATGTTAATGCTTTATGTAAAGAAGCAAGTTGGGGCTTCCTGTCTCTGAAGATTCCCTGGATAGTGTTCTTTCTTCTCTTATTCTTTCCCTTGCACCTGGGGGATTTGGATAGCCTATCATTACAGCTGGGCACACGGCTTTCCCTTCCGGAGTCTGACTGAGTTTGAGCTCCCTCAGCTCACTTAACTTTGGGACATAGCCTCTTCTCTTGAATATCTCAGGTCTCACTAAAACTTGGTAGAAATATGTGCAGGGGAAAAATGCACAAATCCTTTTGGGAGAGGGGAAACATTTATTTCTCATCTCTCCTGCTTTTCTTTCTTTTCACCGTGTTCTGCATGGTACTGTAACCATAGCATTTTGGGGAAGTGCTGGTCTCTGTGCACTAGTGTCACTCTAGGTGGTTTTGCTCAGGACACCGTGTGTTACCTCTGACTCAGGCCTGCCTGTGGTGAAGTGCTGCCACCTGCCAGAAACTAGTGTGGCTTCACAGTGCTGCCTTCTGTTTAACCTATCCCACTCACTCCTCTCACCTCCCTTTCTCACTGTCCATTCAGTACATCCCTGTTTACTCCACTGGATGCTGCCTCAAATGTCCTTTTCTCTGAGCTTTCATAGGCTTTATAACACTTTTTTTCTTAGGTCTCCTGGCAATCTGTATGGAACCCTGGTTCACCTTCTGTGACTGCCTTCCGGAAGAGGTCTGTTATCCTTGCAGCTCTGGCCAGTGTCATCAGCCTAGGGTGAGAAGGGCATGGAATGCCTTTCTCCCAGGTCCCAGGGGGTTGCAGTGCTCCCACACTGTCCCCTGGAGCTGGGGAAACTCAGCTCCTGCGGTAAGAACTGCAGCATACTGTCCCTTCCTGCTTTAACCTTTTCCTTGCAGCAGGGTACACAATGGGATCTCTTGTTGCTAGATCCTCTCTGACGAGCCAAATCCTTCAGGAGCTCTCAGGGAGCTTTTACTGCCTGAATGCCTTTGAGTATCTCACCTCCCTTAATAACTTCTCAGTATCTGGCCCTGAGTCCCCGTTTTCCTTGTTCCAGTGCCTTTTTATGCTCTTCTCTTGGCTGCTCTGCTCGCTGGTTGAGATGGATTTTCAGAAGAAGGAAGGATGTGCAATGGTGCTGTCTCCTCTGCTGTCACATGGACCTGCTTGCTAGGTTGGGTGACACTGTCTGCAAGGTGAAAGGCTTGCAGGTACTGCCTTATTTAAACCTTGCTGGTAGGTAGGGAAGAAAGAGCATTAATTCCTCTGGTGCTTTCTGTTTGGGTCAGCCAGCCAAATGGTGCCCATGAAGCTTGCAGAGCAACCAGCAACAGGAGCACAAGTAAGGACAAAGTACAGGGCTGTTGAAGTGAGCAAACACATGAATCCTAGAAAGCAGCTGGATTGTGAGGCTCATGGGAGTTAGAAGTGTGGGAGATACGTGGCAGTGCAAAGTAGGGTTCAGCTGAAAGATGTCTGTGGGGAAACACGGGTATTGTTGGAGGACAAGGGGATGACCAGAACACAGAAGCAGGGAAAGGGAGGAACTGAGGAACAGCGGTGAGAATGCAAGGAAATAAAGTGTGAGTTTTTGGGGTTTTTTTAAGCAAGATGTTATTTTTTAATTTTATTTTATTTTTCAGCACCACAACTAACTGCAGTGCCCAATTGTTCCTGTCTCCCACCCATTTACATGCCATCAGTGCATATGAAATCCAAAGGACAAATTTTACCCTCAGGAATAACGCCTCACAGTTGTTGCACACTAGCTCAGCATTGCATCCTATGGAAGTATGATTCAGGGTTGAATTTCGATAGCAAGCAACAACAACTGCTGGCTGAGAAAAAATTGAGCTGTCTACTGATGTTTGAGTGCAGTCTAGTGTAATCTAATAAAAAGAGCAGCTACAGTCTGAATTCACATTTGAAATGCCTCAGCTATGTTTGGAGATGTGTTCCAGTGGAAAAAACTCATGAAGCTACTGAGTTACTTCCTTCTCTGTCTGCTGATTGTATTTCCTGTTTCTTCACAGTGGAATTCTTGAAACCCTGACAGGAAGTAAGCCTTTTCCTCACGAGACTGGGTCTTTTGAGCTTGGTTGGGTGGTGACAGGGGGAAGCATGCAGAGGATTGCTCTGAAATCTCAGCATGAAATTTGAGGGCTTACTAGATTTCAGCAGACACTCGGGGAGACTTAATTCCAGTGAGAGGGCCAAGCCTGAAGACAAAGCATAGTGCTGGAAGGAAAAGCAGGCATATTCTCAAGGGGCCAGGCTTCTGTTCTGCAGCTGTTCTGATTCTTGTATAAAAGTCACGCTCTTTGCAAACAATACAAAATGGAGAAGTAAAGCCAGTTTAGAACACACAAGACATGAGGAGGCTCCTTGATAAAGAAATCCAGCTACATATGCCCCACTCTGTTTAGGGGTAGTTCTCTGTAATCTGTGAATCATAGAATCATAGAATCATAGAATCGGCTGGGTTGGAAAACACCTCCAAGATCAAGTCCAACCCTTGATCCAACAGTGCCGGGGTTACTACACCATGGCACTAAGTGCCACATCCAGTCTCATCTTAAAAACCTCCAGGGACATAGAATTCACCACTTCCCTGGGCAGCCCATTCAGAGTCTGTGAAGGTCCCTTCTGACCCAAACCATTCTGTGATTCCTGAGTCCTATCTGCTGACTGAACCCTTCTCAACCTGCCTGACTTCTTGGCATTTCTTCTCAGAGTCTTTCTGATCTAGCGTGTATCTCAGCAGCCATTTCCCTTAATTGTCTCCTTTCAAGATCTGCCCCAGCTTGAAATCAGACTAAACTGAAGTAGACTGACACGTTGTCCAAAGTAATATCAGAGGCCTTTACCAGAAACCAGATAAGGGAGATAAATTACAGTATTGGAGCAAAAAAACATAAACCATCACTTTTCAAAAGCCTCTGAAATGGAGCCTGAAGCAATCACTGCTCTGAACTTCCACAGGCTGTGGAAGTTCACAGGTTGTGATAGAAAGGTCACTGTGTGTTGTTTTCCCAATAACCTCTCAAACCATCAACATATTTTTTTTTTTAATTCCACTTTGCTTGTTCTCCTCCCTGACCCTGGCCTCATCCTTCTGTTTCTCTTTAGAAGTATCATACTTCTGATTATTTCTATTCCTCTGCCTAAGGCTGCAAGTCCCTAGTCTCCCTTCTACAGGAACATTTCCTCATTTGAGATTTGCTGTAAGCGCTAGCTCCCGACTGGGACTGACTTCTGAGAATTGAGACATAGCTGCAACGTTTGATGTAGCAAATGCAGAGACATCACAAGGGACTAATGAGGGCAGGACGCATTTTGTATTGGACTGCAGGTTAAACTGGGCTAGGAGCTGTGATAGCTGCAAACTGAGGAGCAATAGTAGAATTACAAACAGACAAAGGAGGGCAGGAAAATATGGAAAGGGGAGAAAGTTAAATAAGAAAGGTAAAAAGACAAAAAGAAAACCCTAAAGAATTCTTTAAAAGGAAGCCTCTCAGCTGAGAATTGGTTAAGGGGAAGGAGGAGTGCAACTTCCTTTTCAGTTGTTAGGTTCTCTTTTTTTTTAAATTTGTGTCTCAGAAGTTTCCATAGTGCTAGGTCTAATTTTCTGGGCTAAGAAACTGAAGACACATACGGAGCATTTCTGATCTCCCAGGAACTCTGAAGTTATTGCCAGTGCTTCCAGTGTTTAACACATCCTTCCTTTATGGGCAGAGGGTGAATGAGCTGATGGGAAAGGCTCAGTAACCTATCAGTGTCACTCCCTGGAAACAAGGACCTAAAAGGACCACGTTTTATGTGGCAAAACTAAGGACAGGGTCAGTGGTCACGCTGTGATTAAATGGCATCAGAAGTCACCTATGCTGAGGTGAAGTTCAAGAATGCATCACCGACTGCAGTGATTGAAGGTAAGGAATGGATGGGTTATTCAGGGGAAATGGAGCAGGCATGAGGGGGGAAGGAAGACCAGGAAACAGAGACTTTTCCTTCTGTGATTCTGGTTTCTACCTGGTCTTGATGGATTGGTGAGAAAAAGGAGCTGTCTACCACTAAATGAGCAGGAGACTGGAGGAGTTTTGAAGTAAGAGTCTCGAGGAATGTCTGCAAGAGTAAAGGTGAGTTGGAGTTGCAACATGATCAAGGATGACTACTGGGAACACAAACAGTAGGTTTCAAGTGAACATTCATTAAGGAACGTATTTGGGCTCCCTCAGTCCCCTGGTTGCAACATCAACAGTGACAAACGGTGGAAGGTCCAGCATAGGCACTGTACAGGAGTAATGCTTAGCCCTGCTTCCATGCTGGCTGCATCCTTACATGTTAGTAGTCTTGGATGAGTCATTTTTGAACAGTACTGAGTACCAACAATAAAGACTTCGATCTATTACAAATAATCTGATCTGTCACAAAGGTGGAGGGGCTCCCAAAGTGGCAAATAAGCCCAAGCCCTTGCTGCTACCGCTCTTGCTTCTAAGAGAGTGCAACCACAGATTCCTGCTTATGTTAAGGACAGAAGTCTCCCTATAGCAGAGCAGTCAGCTGTACTCTGCAGCTTCATGAGAAGTGGTATTGGCTGCAGGAACTTATAACGCCATTGTCCATGGTTGATTGAGAAATGGTCGTTGGAGAAAAGAGACCCAAAACTTGAACAAAACACCCTAAAATACACATAAGGAGAATTATTTAAGATCTAGAGGAAGATCCAACTCTATTATTGATCTCTGCCACTCCTGAAAAATAATGCACCAAAAAAAAAAATTTTATTGCTATTAAAATTACATTGGTAAAATGTTTTTTTTTTTTTTTTTTAACCAGGCTTTATGCAAATGTAAGACATATTCTGATCAGAATGTATTCTACAGTCATTATGGCACAAGTAGGAACACATAGAGAGGCTTTATGTATGGCTCATTGCTTCTGCCTTGACATACAGGACCCTACACAACAGCAGGTTTCAGGGGAGTGAAAGTATGTGGGCATAAATCAATGAATAAAAAAATAATAATTAAATAAATAATTACTGCTGCTAAGGATATTAACTCACCTATTAACAGCTTTGCCTCAGTTTTACAATCCCAAACAGAGCAGGCATCAGCTCCAGGTTATTCCTTGACTGGTCTGAGGCATGAGTCATGGAAATAAATTACTCTCTTGAAAGCTCACTGTTTTCAATGCACCGAGATCAGCTGGTTCTGGATACAGCTAGCATTTCCACTGTGGTGAGGTGGGGGTGGTGGAAGTTCCCCACTGTCTTCCAAATTATATTCCAAAGACATCTGATCCAGCCATGTCTGCTTGAGCTGTGGATGCCAAGCTTATGCTACAGGTTTGGGTGTGTGCTCAGAGTCTGATTTTGGGTGTGCCTGTTGAAGTGATCTCACACTGGCTGTAGTTTGGAATGCAGAGAAGTGTCTGGTAGTACCACTGCAGACAGTTCTGTGTCTCTCACAGCCTCACATTATGCCCACAGGATGAGTGTTATAATTACTAGTGAAAGACTGAGACAGTCTTGCTGCTCTGTTGTTCTTCTGAATGGTTACTCTGGCCATGCAGACCCTGTGTTGGTAATGGCCAAGCACACCTGGGTTTTTCCATTCTGTAGCCCCTTCCAGCTGGGCTCAAGAGATACCAAAAATGGCAGTCAACAGGTTAGAGAGGAGAAGGCTAATCAAACAATACATGAACTCTGGTAGGAAATGGCAGAGCTGTTGGGGTGTTTTTCACACCACAGTGCAGATAGAGTTCCTCATTTCCAACCAGGATTTCCCAGATAAAAACACAGGCATCTGTGCTGCCCCACACTTGCTGCCTGTGCCCAGGAGATGTTGGATTTACATGCTGAATAACCAGCATATGCTCATCAAGTCTGTTATGCTGAGATCATGCTGGACATGTTACAAGCATGCACACCAACTGTGGAAAGCATTTTGCAGGGAGCTCAACCCACTGGGCGTGCACAAGATTACTGCACTCAGCACTACTGCTGCTGAGGTGTATGGCATGCAGTGCCTCCTGTGCTGAGTGGGTGTGAGTGTGGAATGCTCAGGTCTGACTGGGCACGGGTTGAACAGGCATACTCTGGACGTGCTGCACATCAAAAAAATTATATGGACTGGTTAGGTCCGAAGTAGGTGGCTGGACTCCAGATCTTGAGCCGGTTCCTTGTTTTCACTACAGGCAAAAGCTTTGGCTAGAAAAACATTATTTGACCAAGGAAATCTGGATCTTGTCCGTCTATGAATGTTTTCTCTACAGATAATGCAAGATGATGCCTTTTGCCCTTCCGTAGCCTTTGGGAAGTGTCAGAAGGCTTCCACAAAGAGCAGGTTTTTGGGAGTCTTGCTTATTAGGCATGGCTGGCAGGCATATGCTGAGCAATGAATGAGGTCTCTCTAAATCTTATCATTAATGCCAGTCTCTCAAAA